ACCTGAATAGGCGATAAACCTGGACTAGAGACTTGTGAGGTTAGTCAGGTCGTGGTCTACACCCACGTAGGTTTTCGCTTGAAGTCTGCCGAGCACATATCGTGTGCAGACGCTAAGTGGTGGAAACATGTGTGACGAAGTACACCCCTGCAGGGTATAAAACTATTCGAGTAGCCGCGTCCGCGGTAAAGGACTACTTGGTTTCCTATACAGTTCATAGACAAGTTAATGGATACTACGAAAAGACTCAAGATAAGTGTGAGTACCGAGGATGGCCCTCTCGTAGGATGATGAGGGAGGATCCCCGGTGGAGTATTGTGTTGGTGAGTAGTGGACTCGTGTGCGAAAACTATTTTACTAATGAAGTTCTGTAGGATAGCTTAGCCAAGAGTCAAAGCTGGCTTGCTGCAATAACCCCACCACCTTCTTGAGAATGAGCATGTATATTAGGTTCTGATGTAAGACTTGCTGAGTACCTTTGTACTCATGTTTGCTTAATTACTGTTTTCAGATGACAACACCGCCCCCTCCGATGGGTTCTACGTAAACCTTGATGTCGACGAGTGACTAGCCACCCAGGTGGTGATCCCGGCCATGGAGGGCCCTATGTAGATAGACAGGCTTCGAGAAGCCTTCTTTCTTTCTAGAGTCTGTACTCAGACTAGTTGCTTCCGCATGTGCTTGTATGATTGTATGACTTGAGTGTCGGGTCATGTGACCCCTATCTGTATGAACATGTTATGTATGGCTCTCTGGAGCCTTCAAATAAAGTACTTGAGTTGTAGAGTTTTGTTGTGATGCCATGTTGTATGTACTCATATCGGGCATATTGTGTGTATGATTGAAATGCTTGGTATGAGTGGGATACGACAATCTAGTTGTTTATCCTTGGCAGCCTTTCTTATGGGGAAATGTAGTCTAGTGTTCCTCGAGCCATAGTAGTCCGCTATAGCCCGGTTCACCAGAGTCCTGCTAGCCCAGCACTACTGCTCAGGACACTTGACTGGCCGGCATGTGTTTCACTTCGTTCCTATGTCTGTCCCTTCGGGGAAATGTCACGTGGTGATATCCGGAGTCCTGCCTAGCCTGCTACAGCCTGGGTTCCCCGGAGTCCTGTTAGCCCAGTGCTACAGCCCGGAATCACTCACTGATGACCGACATGCTCGATGTGATTCATGTATGCCTGTCTCCATAGGTCTGTGCCGCTTTGGGTTCACGACTAGCCATGTCGGACCGGGTTCTTTGTCATATGGATGCTAGCGACACTATCATATACATGAGCCAAAAGGCGCAAACGGTCCCGGGCCATGGTAAGGCGACACCCGTGGGATACCGTGCGTGAGGCCGCAAAGTGATATGAGGTGTTACCGGCTAGATCGATGTGGCTTGGAATCGGGGTCCTCACAGCGTCGGTATCAGAGCCGGACTGCCAATAGGTTCGTTGAGCCAAATTGGTCGATGTCGAGTCTAGAAATGCTTTTGTTATATGTAGGGGAATTGATTGTGGGAGGGAACGTAAGGCTCTTTTACTCCTTTACCCTATGCCTCTGATCTGAGTCATTCTCTTCTCATTCAATGTGGGTTAAGGACTAGGCTCTCTTCTTCTATTAGGTTCACGTGTTACTAATCCGTAGTAGCTTATAGGATTGTTGTTACAAGTCCCAGTTCAGTTTTTACTATTCTTAGTATGTTGCTAATTGAATCAGAACCTTGATATGATGTTGTTGAGGGGTATTGCGAACTGTTGTGGATGTCTCAAATCTTTTTCTGAGCATTTACAGCTGTTATGCTGTCCAATTTTCCCTAGAAATTCTAATGTCTTTGCATTGTGGTTGGTATTGGAGCAACATTACCCATTGATAAATCATTAACTTTAGGTCTTTTTTAGATATTTTTTGATTCATTCAACCGTGAAGTACCATAGGTATCTAGGAAATAGTTACTTCCAAGTGAATCTTCCCTAGATACCTAAAATCCATTTTATTATGATCCATTTCACGAAAATATATATTGTACCAAAGATGCTAAATTGTTTTCTTTTTATTCTAACTCGAAAACGAAGAAATTTTTTTGCAATGGATTTAAAACGAGAGTTTATTCTTAAGTAAATCAATTGGGAGATGCTTCTCTAGAGTGTCCCATATATGTTTTCTATCTTCCATACAAAAACTGTCAATTCTCAGAAGATCTTCTTCAATCTTACTCAAAAGGTCCAATAGTGTATGTATATTGGCCCTTTTTAGACAATTATACGTTCTAGAAGTCAATTCTAATTGATCAATAAAAATACAATTCAATGGAATTCCTTTTTTGTTTTTCTTTAGATTAGTTAATCTTTTTTGAAAAGTAAAAAGGGGTGGAGTAAACCTGTTTTTATTTTCTTCGAAACTAGCGCCCTCTTCCTCCGCGTGTAGAAAAGGAAGAAATAAATCAATCAAATTACGAGAAGCCTCATAAAGTGCTTCCTTAGGGGTTAAACTTCCATTAGTCCATATTTCTAGAAAAAGTATCTCATGTTTTTCATTTACATTCCCACCAGAAAAAATACTATAATTCACATTTCGAACAGGCATGGATACAGCATCTATAGGATAACTTCCATCTTGATAGTTCTTTCCGAGTTCTGTCTGATATCCACGATCTCTCTTGATTTGTAAATCAATACAGAAATCAATGGGCTCTATCAAGTTAGCTATAGGTTGTGCCGTATCAACGATTTCTACGGAAGGCGGTAAGATGATATCTTGAGCAGTTATGTATCTAGGACCTTTGACGCAAATGGATGCGTCTCTAACTCCATAGAGATTACTTCTCAATACAATTTCTTTCAAATTTAGTAAAATTTCTTGTACGGATTCTTCAATACCTGCTATTGTAGAATACTCGTGTGCCACACTTCCAAATTTTGCGCGTGTGATACATGTTCCTTCTATTTCTCCAAGTAAAGCTCTTCGCAAGGCAATACCGACGGTGTCCGCTTGACCTTTTCTAAGCGGGGACAGAATGAAACGACCATAATAAAGGCGCTTACAATCTACTCTTGATTCAACACACTTCCACTGTAGTGTTTGAGTGGATCCTGCTACCTCCTCTCGTACCATAATAGACTAGTATTATTATTTTATCATTGAATTGTTTATATCTCTTGAAATGAAAGTTGAAAGCGGGTTAATTCTTTTACAAACGTCTTTTTTTAGGCGGTCGACATCCATTATGCGGCAAAGGTGTTACATCGCATATACAACTTAATCGCACACCACTTTTAGCAATGACTCGTAATGCGGCATCTCTTCCACTACCAGCGCCCTTTACCATAACTTCTGCTTGTTGCAAACCTACTGTACGAATAGCATCTACTGCTGTTCTTTGACCAGCATAGGGTGATGCTTTTCTTGAGCTTTTGAATCCACAAGTACTGGCCGAGGACCAAAAAACCACCCGACCTTGTGGGTCTGTAACAGTTATAATGGTATTGTTGAAACTAGCTTGAACATGAATAACCCCTTTTGTTATTCTACGTGCACTCTTCTGTAAACTAAAATGTGCATTCCTACGTAAACCAATACGCACTTTCTTACGTGAACCAATTTTTGGTATAGCTTTTCCCATATTTTATTATCTCATAAATATGAGTTAGAAATAAAAAAAGAAAAAAAGATACAAAGATATCCGTTTCAGGGTAAAATAAACCCTTTACTTTAATTATTTTAAATGAAATTATTTTATTTGGAATTGGAACATTTCCGCGGGTACTTGTTTTTACTTTTTCGAAAGTAAAGTTCTTTTTCGAAAGATTACCCCTGTCTTTGTTATGCTTTGGATTGGAGCAAATGACTCTAATTCATCCACGCCTACGAATCAATCGACATTTTGTACAAATTTTACGAATGGAAGCTCTTATTTTCATATTTCCGTATCCTTTTTTAAACTATGAATCTAATCTTTTGGAAAAAATAAGTCTCTTCGCTTGAATTTTAGAACTTAGAATTTATTACCCTAGAAAAAAAAGAAAAAACTAATCCTTTGAATCTTTGGTATCCTTCAAATCTTTGCTATCCTTCAAATCTTCGCTATCCTTCGAGTCTTCGATACGCTTCGAATCCTTATGGGGAAGTCTATAAATTATACATCCCTTGCTTGAATCATAACGACTTACTTCAATTTTGACCCTATCCCCCATCAGTATTCGTATAGAACTAGACCGTATCTTTCCTGAAATATAGCCTAGGATGATGGTGTCATTCTCTAGCCGAACGCGGAACATTCCATTGGGTAGGGCTTCCGTAACTAAACCTTCGAAAGTTACTTTTGCTTCTCTCGGGTTTTTTTTCTCTCCTATTTTTTTTCTGTCATATTTTTTTCTCCTATTTTTCTATTTTTATTTTAAAAATAGGAAGGGCGAGATAGAATTCGAGCACTATAGGCGGGGCGATTACCATATATAACATAAGACTTCTCCCCCAATTCTGTTTAGTCGAGCTTCTCGATCTGTCATTATTCCTCGAGAAGTAGAAAGAATAGAAATTCCCATTCCACCCAAAACTTCAGGAATTCCTTGATAGTTGGTATAAATTCGTAAGCCGGGTCGGCTGATACGCTTTAAAAAGGTTCTTGTTCTATATATTCCTTTTCTAGTCTTTCTCTTTTGATGTGGCAAAGTTGAAACCAAGAAATATCTGTTATGTTCCTGATGTTTCCAAACACTTTCAATAAAACCCTCTCGTAGAAGTATTTTAACAATGTTTTCGGTAATATTTGTAGATACTACTCGAACTGTTCCTTTTTTATTCATGTCCGCATTTCTTATAGAGGTTAGTAAATCAGCAATAGTGTCCTTTCCCATAAGACTCTAATTCTAGGTTCCTCCTAATTTTTCTATAATCAACATGTTTTTTTCATTTTGGATTTTAAAACATATACGTAAAACACAATCTACTAAATTAATTCTTTGGTCTCAATTTTGCCTACTAGTATTTATAATACTTCAGGAGCTAATGAAACTATTTTGTAAAATTCAATTCTCTCAATTCCTCGGCAATCGCGCCAAAAACTTGAGTTCCTTTTGGATTGCCTTTTTGATCAATTATAACCGCAGCATTGTCATCATAGCGGATTATTATACCGTCTTCGCATTTGAACTCTTTACATGTACGTACAATTACAGCTCGAATTACTTTGGATCTTTCTAGAGGCATTTGGGGCAATGCGTCTTTGATTACAGCAACAATAACATCACCAATACGAGCATATCGCTGATTACCAGCAGCTCCTATGACTCGAATACACATCAATTTTCGAGCTCCACTATTATCTGCTACATTTAAAAGGGTCTGAGGTTGAATCATATTATTTTGATTTCAATTTGTTATTTCAATGCAAAAGGATGAAAGAAATATTGTCTTTCTAGAAAGAAAAACTGGGCATTTTTTATCTTCCATACCCCTTTTAGGGTTCTATATCTCTAATCGAATAAATTGACTTCGTATGGGCATTTTACTGGCAGCTATGGAGATAGCTGCTCTAGCTACAGTTTCAGATAATCCCCCCATTTCATAAAGTATACGACCAGGTTTAACAACGGATACCCAATATTCGGGGGACCCCTTTCCCGAGCCCATACGTGTTTCCATGGGTCTTAGTGTAACCGGTTTGTCGGGAAATATACGTACCCATATTTTTCCACCACGACATGCATATCGTGTTATTGCTCTTCGTCCTGCATCTATCTGTCTCGCCGTGATCCAAGCGGGTTCAAGTGCTTGAAGAGCATATCTACCAAAACAAATACGATTGCCTCGGCAGGATTTTCCTTTCATTCTTCCTCTATGTTGTTTGCGAAATCTGGTTCTTTTGGGGTTATAGTCAATGGTTCTCTTTCTTAGTTCCATCTCTACTACAAAACTGGACATGAGAGTTTCTTCTCATCTAGCTCCTCGCGAATGGAATCAGAAAGCATGTAAATTTCTATAATTCATAATATTCCAAAATATTACGGTATGGATAGATACACATTAATAGATAATAGAAAAAGTTCGGGTTTTTTATATTGGATTTGTTAAAACAGAAAAATATAATATATAGTCAAAAAAGAAGATCTAGAATATATCCAGATGTGTGTGTATATTTATCTAAATTCTATATTTATAGATAATGTAATCCTTCTTAAAAAAATCCTTATTTTTACTCTTATTGAATCGCAGTAAAGTATTCTAATTCAATAAGAATTTCGTGGGCGAATATTTACTCTTTCCTGTCTTATTTGTTAATTTATAAACTTACCAAATAAGAAAAAAAAATTGGTTTGTTCCGCCATCCCACCCAATGAAGTGTTAGGATTCTTTTCAATAAAATCCTATGGAATCATAGGTTCTGTCGTTCCCACTGCTTCTCCTTGAATGGTTAGGTCTGAATCCTGCAACGGAGCTTCCAAAAAATTTCTTTCCGAGTTAATTTTCTCAGTTTTATTAACCCGGACGGCTCTTTATTATTGCTTTAAATTTGTAGTTCTTGTTTCAAGTTACAATTTTTAATTCTCTATTATTTTTATTATATTGATGCTTTATCACATTGCCTTTTATGATGTAATTCATAGACCATACATAGTGGAATCCTATATCTTATTTATTTCCTCTTCCTTCTTTCTATCATCCCTCCCTTTATCCACATCCCTTTAGTTTTTCTTCACAACCTAGAATCCCTTTTCTTTTTTAGAGAAAAAATTGCAGTTGCTACAACTATATGACACATCTACTCATTTATGATAGAGATATTTATTCATATAGTGACTGTCTCTTAGTTAGGATCTCGATAATACGAAGCAATAGGTTGGTTATTAGTTAATTTTCTATAATTACTAAGTTTTTTTCTTTAAAAAAACAAAAAAAATAACGAGTCACACACTAAGCATAGCAATTATATTAAATGATTTATCAATTTTCATTAAATCTTATAGAAAGAGGTATAATTTCTTCTTTTGTAGGGATTTCAGGAAAAAAGTCTCTTCTCATTTTTTATTCTATCAATGGACAAAATCCGAAGACAAGATTACTTATTCTTCGTCTACGAATATCCAAAGTTTTACACCTAATTCTCCATAGATAGTCCGAATTGGATAGCAGCAATAATCAATTCTAGCACGAATTGTTTGGAGGGGAAGTTTACCCTTTTTAATAGATTTGGCACGTGCAATTTCTTTTCCTCCGAGACGACCCGCAATTTTTACTTTTACTCCCCTTATATCTGCTTTTTTAGTTAATTCAATGGCTTTTTTGATTGCCTTTCGGAATGAAACTCTATTTTTTAATTGGAAAGCTATATATTCTGCAAGAATGTTAGGCTGTCTATAAGGTTCTTTAACTTTTTCGATAGAAATATTAAATATTTGGTTTACAGAGTTAATTTCCTTTTGTAGATCTTTCTCTAATTCTTCGATTGCTCCTTTTTTCTTTAATAAATTTGGGAATCCAATATGGATTATGACATGGATCGTGTCGATTTCTTTTTGGATTTCTATATGTGTAATTACTTCGGAACTTGAACGTGAGTCCATTTTTCTATTATGTGTAATTACTTCGGAACTTGAGTCTGATTCTATTTTTATATTCGAGCCCTTTTTCCTATTCTTTTGTATATAGTTCTTGATACAATCCCTTATTTTTTTATCTTCCTGTAGACCTTCAGAATAATTTTTTGGTTGTGCGAACCAAAAGGAATGGTGTTTTTGGGTTGTACCATGTCTGAAACCGAGTGGATTTATTTTTTGTCCCATATTTTTCTATTCTATATTTTTTTACTGGGAAACGAAATCTTAGATGGATCTAAAGGTTATTTAGATTTCTTTACTATATTTAGTACAATTCTTATATGACACATGCTTTTTTATGGGGAAACTACGTCCTCGAGCTTGAGGTCTGAATTTCTTCATAATAGTACTCCTACTGACTTCGGCTTTAGTAATAAATAAATTCGCTTTGTCGAAATCCCTATAATGAGTACCATTTGCGGCTGCCGAATAAACCAACTTTAAGATGGGATAAGATGCTCGATAGGGCATGAGGTTCAGTATCATAACCGTTTCCTCGTAGTAACGCCAGCGAATCTCGTCAAGAACTCTTTGTGCTTTGAAAACAGACATAGGGCATGAGGTTCAGTACCATAACAGTTTCCTAAGCATGATCAATTAAACCCTATTATGACTATGCCATGGCAGATTTAAAGCTGCAAACCGCAAAAATGCTATTTAGCATCCATTGTTTGCTTCCAACTAAGAACTAAATTCTAAGAGATGAAAAGAAAGTACAGTAACCAAGTTATGATCTATTTTCTGGTTGAGATCAAAAAGTTGAGAAAATATGAAGTACCACCTCTCTTGTGGAGCCGTGTAGGCATCGGGGGTGCGATGGCTGTCGGTGGCGTTGAAGTAGATCTGTGATGGTAGACAGGTGCATCGGGGGATAAGTCCTATTGCGGTGGATGAGAAGGTCATGTGAGCGGCCCCGACAAAGAGGACGACATCATCGATGAAGCGAGAGGACGCGATGCAAGTCTCCTGGTCCATCACCATGGATGTGAAACGTCCATCTCTTGTAGTGGATGACGTGGTCTTGGTAGGTAATCCGGCATGGGGGAGGATGGTGGTGATGGATGGGGTGGAGGAAGGCGGCGATGGATGGGGTGGCGGACAGAGGAGGCTGGTGTGGGGATGGTGTTCTAGCGCGGACGGTGTATGAATGGAAAAATGGAGGGAGAGGTATGGGGAACTATGTTTTTGGGACGCGCCTGTCTGAAATATGGGAAAGTTACTAACTTAGCCCTTGTCTAAAATTTGGACGTCTCGTTTGTTGGGGATAGGACGGTAATCTCACATCTCACCAATATTTACCTAGAGTGATTTCTGGCGAGCAGAGGGTGTTTTGGCGCCCACGGTTGGCATCCATGGTGTATGAACCGGGCTGACAGGTAGGGCGGTTGTGTCACTTCTGAGTAAAGTTACAAACCTGCTCCTATTGAAAATATTTGCCTACATCAATTTCGGCCAAGTCGAGTTTGTTTTGCTGCCCACCGTGTATGAATGGGGAAATGGAGGGAGAGACAGAGGTCTTTCGGACGAGCTTGAATCAAATGTGTTTTTCCACCCATGTTTGGCGCCCACCGTGTCGGAGTGGGCTCAGATGCGGCCATGTCACGTCTAATTGAAGTTACGAACCTACCCCTATTGAGAGAACTGGAAATTAGGCCGATGGATTGTCCATGTAAGGGGTAGACAGTAATTTCCATCTTCCAAACACTGGCTTCGGGCAGCCGACATGGGAGTGGACATTCTACCTCTTCTTTCGAATTTTGGCACAAGAACCATCCACATTTACCCTGGCAACTAATTTCGAATCCATTTTGTATTCCTATTTTAATCTTTATAAATCATTCTATGTATTTTTATATATCTTGAAAAGCATGACAAAAATGTATTCCACTCTCATATATGAATATGATTTACAAATGCCGATACTCGAATTCAGAAGCTAGAATCCAGTTTAAGATGAATTCGAATATTTGAAACCACTTTATGTCCAACTCAAGTGTCACAAGCAACATAATGTGTACTCTCATTTAGATATGTACACAAGCGATGTATCAAGATTCAAATACCGAGTCAATCAACCAATAATGTACAACACTGTCAGACATATAAACACTTATAGAGTATATGGATCAATAATATCAACTAACATACATAAGCCAGGCCGCTGTACTTTTTTTGCTACAAGAGCATCCTGTTTTTAGCGAAGCTAGTACAACATCTTGGTCCTCTCAGATGCGTGCCACTTAAGTACCATCTATACTACTATTATTCCTGACTGCACATTCAGCCCGATTGGCATATTTGTAGGTCTGGCACGACAATCAAAATGAAATGTCTCAGAGTCTTATCAATTAATACAGACTTGTGCTTAAAAAATTACAAACCAAAAGACAAAAAACAATTATTACATGATCTCTAAAACAAATGGTTTGATCGATTACATGAACAAACAACACAAAGGTTATTCAATGATGGAAAGAACATTTCACCTATGATTTACCAAGTGGGAATTTAATTTCCATTTTTCCCTTCAGGACCTTAACAACACAGTCAGTCTCAACTTTCTTAGTTTTGAAATCCACGAAATATTTAATGGTTGTCTTGAGTACTGCTTGTGATTGTGTTGTTTGCTTCCTCAACATGTCAACTTCAACTCTAAGTGCAGAAGCTCTTTCTAACAATAGTTTAGCCTTTAGAGCATCAACAGTTGGCAATTCATGATGCACAATTGGGCCGATGCCACTACTGTGGGATGATACAACGTCCATGGAGACCTCGCTCTTTGATCTTGGGCTAACCTATTTTGCCATTAAAGTTCCGATTGGATTCCAAAAAGTTGAAGTTAGCAAAACATCTCAACTAGGAGTTATAACAGCAAACCAGTTAAACAAACAAGGAATTAAAGAGTTTCAATTGGATACTGAAAAGTAGTTATTAACATCATTGTAAAGAGTTGCAGTAGCAAAGCAGTTAAACAAACAAGTTTTGCAAAAGGTACCACTTCTGGCATTGGAGTTTCTCTGTGATCTTGAAAAGTTGAGTAGCAAGTAACATGATTAGAGCAATCGGTTGCAATTAGACAAACAAGTTTTGCAAAAGGAACCTGTTGTGACATTAGAGTTTCTCTTGGATCCTGAAAAGTTGAGTAGTCAGTAACTTGATTAGAGAAACAAGTTACAACAGCAACCTGTTATAGAAATATATTTTTGAAAATGTACCTTCTATGCAATTGGACTTCCAATTGGATCCTGAACTTGAAGTTGGTAAGATGAACAACAACAAGTTACAGCAACAAACCAGGTAAACAAGGAAGTTTCTGAAAACATACCT